TTTGCGTATTCACTGTTTTTTGTCAGTTTGTTGAAAGAAGCTCAATCGCTGCACTGGTTTATCAGAATACACGTAGCAGCGTTACATAAGTTTTTTCTGTTTTGATAAATATGTATTTATTCTTGGAAAAATTGATTTTTATTGAGTTTTATAAAAGCCTCTACAAGATAACATTTTTTTTAAGAATTCGTGGAGGTCTTTTAAAGCATCGAGCTCATATCGGAGGTTACTGTACTTCGTACTATCATATGTCAGCAAAGAAGTTAGTGAAGTAGGAGTGAGGAGGAGGCGCTAAAACTCTACTGTTCGACAGAGCTGTTTCCTTATTTAATTAGAGGTAAAATGGAGCGACACTTTCGAAGATTTTAGTTACAGTCCTCAAGCAATGGACTAAAAAGATCTTGGTCTATTACACTTGCTAAATAGTAGCTTGCAAGGACTAAAAAAAAATTATTCATTTTAATGCAAACGGACGTTATTGGACCCATCGTTCCTTTAAAGCAGAGATTAATCAGTTTCCGCCATCAGACTTACAGAGTGAGGTTGTTGAAATCAAAAACAATTTGGACATAGTAATGATGAAAACCGCTTATATATACCGCAGAAGCGATTTTCCTTCGAGCTACTCCTTCAACTCCTGAGTCTCGCTGTTTTTCTAATCGAGGGAGTTTTCATTACATGCCAGTTGGTCGAACTAGGACTGAACCGAACCGAATAGCAGTACACTATGTTAGCCACTCGACATTTGCGGCCACTAAACCACCGTACTTTTATTAATATCAGACTATAACAACCTAAAATTAGAATTGCATTTTTAAATCCAGGAGGAGTTATCTTCTAGGCATGAATAGAGAACAGGTTTTGTAGGAAAAAAGCAAACTATCCGACTGATGGATATAAAATAAAATTCCTGGCAAGGGCGGGGATAAACTCCGAGGTTCTCAAAATCCTCCGGAACTCTTCGCAATCATGGAGGCAGCGGAATGGTTGCAAAAATCTACAGCAGCAGGACAATCAGTCCTCGAAAAATCACCATAAACAGTAGAGAGACTCTCAACAAACTCTCAACAATCTCTTAACGAAGTACAGTACTGCTGCGGTCTTAGTACCTGAACACAGGGACATCCCAGTCAATTTCATGACAGAGGAGCTAGCAAGAGGGAACCCTTCTACCCACGATAAAACACGCACATCATGCCGGTTACCTGAGTCCACGGCTAAGTACATGTTTAAACTGGTAAACACCAGAGAAACTGACTCACGATGGTCAAATGAAATCACGTGTAACGTAACCAGAACGCTATGGCCGAAATTGGACGCGAAAACATCCATGCATATTATCCTTCTAGACTGGTTCTCCATTAGCATAGTGGCGAGTATAATAACTGGACACTGTTTAATGGGGCTTCACGGGTTTAGGATGGGCTTTTACTCTAACGATATCTGTCGCAGCTGTAGGGACGAAGAAAAAGAGGAGACCGTCGAGCTCTACCTCTGCCAATGTCCAGGCTTGATATCCGCGCGACACAAGTTTCTTGAAAAACATTTCTTCGACTGTCTCGCCGAATTGTTGTCGGTGAACATTAGAAATCCAGTTGCCTTTATAAGGCACAGGAAATATTTCAATCATTTGAGAAGATGATGTATCAACTCAACTCTCAACTCATGACAATAACAGCCAACGCCGAAGTTCGGCCGCCACACTTATTTCAGGGGAGTTGCTCTTAACATCTACCAGCTCTTGAAATTCAACTTAATCTTCTCCCGGCAGACCTATACCCAAAACATCATGCGAGATGAAAAGCTATAAGATTAAACGTAACTTATAATGTCGCAACTGCATACGCCCAAATACTGAATTCTACATCATTCTTGGAAGAAATGAACAACGTCTCTTCCGTCTGCTGCTTCGACGTTCTCAGCAAAAATCTCAGAGGCTCGAAGGTGAAAATTTAACAGTTATAAGTCAGTGGGTAAGTTGGAGAGCTCACTCTGCCATCGAATCAAGTAAAAAACTTCTCGAGCTTCTACTGCAGCGTCTTTCAAGCGAGTCTAACTTTATTAAAGCAAACCGCTTCAAGATCGCTCGACTTCTATGCAATAACCCAACCTATTACAATCTATTCTGACAACCAGGTTGCCATTGAATTTCACTATGCAAAGGAATCTCAAACAAACTATACACTCTATGCGAAACAACCGTGGTTTGAATCTCTGTTTAGAGGGACATCGAAGGCAACTGTGTAACCAACGAACTGGCCAGAGAGAATAACGTACGCATATCTTTCTTCTCGGCATGGTTAAAAACAGAGTGTAGAGTGACACCGGTCATTGGTCGAGGTAAACAGAGCTAAGTCTCTACAACTTCTGAGCAAGACATAAACATACAGTGTCATGGGGAATATTGCTAGAAGAAAGGTCCGCTTCTCAAATGACAGCAAATAGTTTGAATACTTGAGCCTTTGCAATGTTTTTGATGAGACCCAAACTTATGAGAATTCAAACACTGAAGGTTTCTAAGAAGTGCACGAAGATTAAGAGGAAAAATTAAAACTCCATTGATGCTAAGTACCAAATTTATATCTGTTTCCTCTTTTCCTCATTTTTGCCAAGACTGGACTAAATTATGATATTGACGTGCCTCTAAAATCTTAATTAAGATTATTCAGTAAAAAGCTATAATGGAAAACTATTTTGTGATAAAGAAAATAGAATTTCTGCAAATAATATTTCTGGGGAGCAATAATTTTTTTAGTGTAAAAAAGTTTTTATTTCTTTCCAAACACCACTTTTAAAAATAATTGAACTAAAAAAGTTAAAAATTGAATTATTTTACTTGACTGAAAGTTTTGTTCAACATGAACCTTTTCAAATTTCCCTGCCATAAAAAAATTATAAATACATAGATATTAATAAATATTAATTTTTTACCCCCAGAAGTAAAAATAAATTATGTTATGACGCAAATGAACTTCGAGTATTAATGGAAAAAAAAACTTTTTATTTTCCTTGCAACGCAAAAGTCTGCATGACATCCATAGTAATTAATAATGATTTTAAATAAATATACAAAATTCATTTTCCACAAAGTCACTAAACATTTCACGCGCTCATACGTGAGCTGTTTTTATGAACACTTACTCGCAAAATTAATCAAAATACTAAAATAACCAAGAAATAATAAATAAATACACATAAACGAAATGTGCTAACTAGATCATTAACGAAAATTTTAGAACTCAAAATTAAACTTAAACATGAAAAGATTTATAAAGTGAAAAAAAAAGTATTTATTATTGGCTGAGTAATTAAAATTTATTTGTAAACGAATATTTTGTTTATTACACGGAGGGAGGGGTTTAATGGAAAATATTACTCATCAGGATTTGTATATATGAATTTTGGAAATTCGTTATCAAACTAAGAGCGCAATGAGTATTCATAGATAGTAATTGCATTTAATAAATAATTATCTGTGAATTAAGTTTTTTTTATATATCTATAAACATATTTATTTTATTTATTTAATATATATATATTTTAGTTCTGTTTTTATTTTTGATTTTTTATGTGCTAGTACATGTCAGAGTGTATCGTGTAATAATTTTTTCGATCTTGAATTTATGTTTGAGCATAGATTTTTTTAGCCATATTAATTTTTAAGAACTTGTTTTTTTTATTAATTTTGAATTTATAAATTTTAACAATTTTTGTCATTTTATTTATTAAATATTTCTTATGTTGAAATGATATGCTGTATACTTAATACTAAAGAAATATTTTTCCCATTTCTCTTTAGAATTTTTGCAGCTCCTAAATTTTTTAATATTAATATTTTAAGCAACTTTTTAAATATTTTTTTTTGCATTTTTTTATTTAAGTGGAATAAATATACAATCAGCTGTATTGAACTTGAAGTTGAAGTTGAATTTATATTCTGCTCAAAGAGAAAACACATACATATCCACATACACACACACTACGCTTACGCACCCGTTAGCATGCGCTAATGGCATTTACATTACGTATACGCCCTGCTGTGCTGTGCGCTGCGGGCGAACCTTCCACATTGCTTATGAATGAATTTCAAATTTATTTCAATGTGTTTATTATGCTTTAATAAGCAAAGAGAAAGCTAATTAACAAATTAAAGATGTTTTTGGCGTATTATTTGTAGTTTAATGAAGAGATCGATTTAAAAATTCATTAAAACTTATTTACAATTCAACAAATTCTATAAAGAATAATTATTTCAATGAATTGTATATACGTTTGAGTATAGCCAAAGAAACTACAATTCTGCCAACAGCATTTTCTGCTTCGATTTTACCTTCAATTTCTTCGCAAAGAAAAATAAGTGTATAGAAATATTGCAAAGAAAAACAGCCAGCAGCAGCAATGACCAGACTTGAATGGTTGGTGAGAAAACAAACAGCAAGAAATTCTTACGTATTTCAAGTATTTGCATAGTAAATAAAAATATCAAAAGAAAGAGTAAATAATGTATAAAATCAGAGAAATAAAATATAAGCGAGGATTAAACGCCACTCTTTACTTTGAGTGGTCAGTTAGTGGAAAACTGCGAGATAAAATTTTAAATTTGGCTACTGGCAAACAACAGGTCGAGTAGTGTAAACTTTTGGGACTCAAACTTTTAATAAACAACAAAAAGTTGATAACGTTGTAGTAATGCAATAGTAGAGAAATTATAAGCAAATTTTGAATAATGGAAAAAGTCAAAGTAGAGTTTCAATAAACGTAGTATTTTTAAGAAATCTGAACAGAAACAAATTCAAAAAGATTAATTATTAATAATGAAATATATCTATTTTTTGTGAGACCCTAAATATTATTATTTTTAAACCTGCCATAAAAGTTGAATAAAATATACAAACAAATTCTTAAGTAGTGATCTTGTCTTTATATTTTTACAAAAAAATGTAATTTCTATTTTTACCAATCCTTTAATATGATTCCAAAGCCAAGAAAAAGTTACTTACCACAACGACATTTGCTGGTTCTAAATACTCGTACAGTTCAATGTTTTATATTTCAACGCGCTATGCTGCCGAAAAAAGTTCCGAGTAAAGGTAAAGACAACAAAAAAAAATTCCACTTATTTTTAAGAATTCACAAGCGGCACATAAGCCTATAAGCTTGTAACTTGTATTTGATTTGCATTAAAGAGGATTATATCATTTTTTATACTGTTTGTCACTGCTTTTAATTTTTTTTTTTTATTTCAAACACAATGGAATTTTAAGTTGAGGATAACTTTTCAAATTCAGTTAAAACTGTAAATGTATACAAAAAAATTTAAAAATATTAAGAGACAAAAAAAGTTAAGAATTTAAATTTTTTATACAACTACTGTGAGCGAACGGCGAAGCGTCGCTTGCTAGCCTAACCTTTACCATGTGTATGTATGTATATATAAATTTATGTATTATTGCACGATTCTACTTCACTTTGTTGGTGTTGCAATGTCATTTACATTCAGTGGGCAAGGTAAAGTGAACTATCTACATTAGTTGTTGTAAAAATGTCGAGCAAAGTAAAAACAAATTTACGCTTTGTTTACATAATCTCTGTGAGACACACATATACACATATACAATATATGCAGCAGCACAGAGAAAATCGACTCTTGGCACTGTTATCCTTTTGCGACTGCAGCAATGGCTTTGCTGTTTTAAGGTTTGTTATTTTTGGCATACATTGTTGTTTTTAGCCAATGCCTTTATGGAATTAAGGTTTTTTCCGTTTGTTTTCTTTTGTCACAGGATGGACAGGGCTATTTTTATAAGCGGCTTGAATTTTTTACATAAATTTGCGGGTATATTTCTAGTAAGAATAATGCAAAAAAGGTTATAGCATTTATTTTAATTTTTATTTTACTTTGCTTTAGTTTTCTTAAATTCAATTAAAAAAAAAATAACTAATAATTAATATAAATTAAAAAAAGCTTATCAAATTTATTTTCTATAAAATTTTTTTAATTTTATATAAACTAATTTTATTTATTTAATTTAATTTTTTCTTTCCATTAATTTTTTATTTTTGAATTAATTCACTTTATTTTGTCTTATTTTACTTTATCTTTTCGTCATAATTTTTAATACAATTCATTTTATTTTATTTCATTTTAGTTTTATTCCTTTCCACCTGATTTTTTTTCATTTTACATAATTATTTTGTTTTGTTTTATTTTATTTCATATTAATTTATTTTAACTTATTTTCTTTGACTATTGATTATTTTATTTTATTTTATTTTATTTTCTTTTATTTTATTTTATTTTATTTTATTTTATTTTATTTTGTTTTATTTAATTTAATTTTATTATAATTAATTTAATTTTATTTTATTTTGTTTTATTAAATTTTTTTTTTGTATTTATTTTTTTTTATTATTTTTTACTTTGTTCTATTTGATTTCAATATATAATAGTTTTAGAAGTTTAGTTTAGTTTAGATTAATTTTTTTTAGTTTAATTTAATTTTTTTAAATTAATTAATTTCATTTAATTTTTATTAGTTTTTATTACTTTATTTTATGTTATTTTGTTTCATTTTCTCATATTCAATTTTATGAATATTTTTTTATGTTGTTGGTTTCATTTAATTTTAATTATTTTGTTTGATTTTTTATTATAAATGTTTTATTTGCATTATTTCGTTTTAATTACTATTCTTATAAAAATATTTATTCTATGTGTTTATTATTATTTTTTTTTTTGACTTTTTTAATTTTGTTTTATTTAATTCCATATTATTTATTTTTTTTATTTATTATTTATTTACTTCTATTTTATTTTACTTGTTTCATTTAGTTGATTTTAATATACCTTGATTAATTTCTTTTAAATATTTATGTTTTATAGTGAAATTGTATTGTGGCCATGCCTCACGCTTCCTAGTCTTTAAAAATAGCGCATAAATATCAAAAAAGGAGCAGCTGGAAAATACCAAATGGTCAAAGAAAAAATAAAAAGGCATATTTGGGTCAAATTTCATAAATTGTCTGAAAAAGCAACGGGGGCTCACAGTTGAAGTGGAGAACGTGAAAATATGAAAATAAAGGGAAAGCATAAAAAACTGAAAGAAACCAAAAAATATAGAAATACATCCAACCCGAAAGGACGGAAATCACATTTAACTCCTCACTTTCACACGCTCAGTTATTTGGCCCGAGGGTTCTGGCAAGTTTATGGCTTACAAATGCTCCCAACATGTATACGCGCTGTGCGAATGGACATACAAACATGTATTCTGCAAAACGGCAGGATGATAGCGTGCGTAGCGTGTCCTTAAAATCACTTGGCGCGCGTGTAAATATATGATTGCATACTTTAAGGCGGAGCATCAGAAGCGACTCTTTAATTAAATACATATATAATCAACGGTTGCATGTTGGGGGGGAGGGGGAATAATTGGGGTAAAACCTTATAAATAAGCCAAAAATTTGGTGGTTTTAAGAATTACACACAAATCGTGATCACAAAATAGGTGATCTACAATTATTTTAAAGTTCTGCATATTAAATGGCATTTAAACTAGCCAGTAGCGATGTTAGTTTAAATCTAAAATTTTGCAATTTACATCATATATAAATGAATGAAGAAAAAACGTTTTCAGAGAACAATACCATGTCCTGTCTATCAAATTTAAGTTAAATTTACATTGGTCTGCCTATCAGTCTGCCAACAGCTGCACATGTCAGCTCACATACATGTATGTTCGTAGATTTTACTCTGTAAAAATGTGACAAAAGTGCCTTCAGCTCACATTTACACGTTTTTACATAATATATGTAGATATATCTCACAGCTTCACTACAAATTTTTTATAATTTATTTAATTTTTTCATAATTCTCTGGAATTTATTTTTCAAAATTTTTTGTTATTTTGTTTTTAATTCCCACACTCAAAAACACTTATGAATCTCACTTTTAATTTTATTTCACTACCACCAACTAGCTGTCTGACAATCCAACTGTCCTTATGTCCTTTGCTCGCTCTGCAAAAATGTCCTCAGTGTAAACCGCTGGAACAGTTACAAATTTTACCGCACTACGTAGCGTCTGTTTGGCGTTTGAAATTACGACTGAAAGATGAATAGGAAAATACGAAGGAAAAGCTCGAAATAAGTGAGTAGGCTCCCAATCACACACACCAATACACTCAACACAAACCATCTACAGGCACAGGAGACCAATTGAGTGAGAATGTTTACAGTTTACAGTTACCTTTGAGTGGGTAGTAAATGACTGAAGGGCCGAAATGAATATCACTCAAGTTAGCTTACTCTACTACCAACACAAGCATACCCTACGACACAACAACAATCCAACATATTTCACTAGGTAAGCAGCTACTATGACCTGTGCCACGGCGATGGAGACATAGCTTCTAGTTATGTGCTTGTCGTCCATATATTTGCTTAAAAAAGAAAAAGTGTGTTTACCACTCTTAAAGTAACACACTTTTAGACGCCAGCTTGCTGTGCACGTCCAATTCACCATGTCTGCACATTTGCCATCACATAGAGGTGGGTTTCTCACAATTTGTTGTGCGTATGGTGAACTTTCGACTCGAATATCTCCTCATACGAGCGCGTATAAGCAACGCAATGCCCACAAGGCAGTACATGTGTGCGTAAGCTCACTTCATTCACACACTTTGCGCAAGTGTTTTCAATTAATTTTTATTTGTTTAATAATATATTAAGGCGATTAATTATTGGGTATTTAAAATTTCTATGTTTTTAATTGTTTTAAATTTTCTTGTGTTAAAATTAAAATAAAAATTTGTTGGTTGATACATATTTCAGTTAGTTTTAATGATTTTTTTATACATAATTTTTTATACCCAGTACCACAGTGTGTACAAAACATGTTCGGCAATTTGAAGAAATAAAATATTCGAAATAGATATGGGCAAGTACATATATAAAAGCTTCATTGGATGACTTGACGAAGCGATTTACTCATCTCCTCTGTTAGTCCATCACCCAATCCGTTCGTCCATATATACTATAACTAAAGTAGGGCTGGAGTTGAGTACCAACATTCGAGTCTTGGTCCGACAAACATCCAAAAAATATAAAAAATTTAATTAGAAACTGATGATTGCGCTCACTTATACAGACACTTGCTAACGAACGACTGGAAAGTGCAAAACTCCACGTCACACTGATTGGACGTGTTATTAATTGGTTACCGTAGTAGTAGCCGAAATATATCGGAGTTAAACCAACAAACAAATATTTGTGTCTTTATTCACCTCAAACCGGCAAAGAAGTTTCAATTTATTTTATTTTTTTGATATTTTTTTTTTTTTAATCTAACCCCATATGAAGGTCTTCCAAGATCACTAGTACAAAATTTCGTACAACAGTAAACTTTTTTTAACAACGAGTTCGATGAGTTTATGGCTAATTTAAATATTATTTTAATGCTTCTGATTCAGCTGCTGTTCTCGCGGCTATTTACACTCCACTCTAATTTATGTCCGTTTTGGAGAGTGGTTCATTATTATTAATGTTTGGCGATTCCGTTTTTGGGCTTAAATTAATATTATTAATGTCACTATCATTATTATCACCGAAGTATTGAAAAATTTTCCACTTATCTCTTAAAATAGCTCTGATTAGGATATCCGAAATAAAATTTTATTTTATCCACATTTCTGCGGTGTATAAATCTAAGCACATTTTAATACTTTCTTCTTTCGCTTTGTCTCTGTTTTTCAATAGTGATATATTTATGGTCTGAGCTAAAAGGCAAAAAACCCATTCCAAGTGATCGTACCTATACTGTTCCTCTTATATCTGCAACTTGTTCAGTTTATATTCGCCATTTGATCAAAGCATTTTCGTTAATACATAGTTTCTGCTCTATACTACCGTGAGGCTGAATGGTGTGTTCTGAAGATGACGCTCTGACTATTTGTCAATCTATTGCGTATGGTATAATACATCTCCTTGGGAGCAAAATCGCTGCATATTTATGTCAGTGTTGGTTTATTTAATAAGCTCTTAGTGTTAATATAAACTTTCAATACGCCAAACAATGAAAATATGCTGTGTTTAGTATCGCTAATATCTCAAAAAAAAAAATATTTAGTTTAAAGACGAAACAAAAATTATTGAAGAATAAATTAATTTACTAAAGAGAAATTATTACGGAATAATTTATTTTTATGTATCAAAAAATAAATCCAAACTATTAGTTTTACATTTTGCGGATTTAACACGATTATTTTGTATATTTGCGAATAACAATTGTTTAGGTTACCTTTTTTATGGACGACAAATTCAAAATGTCTTATGACTTTAGACAGGCACTAAATTCAAGTAAAATATATTTGTAGCACAATTGGGAATTATATTTTAATTTTTCGCTAGGTGTATTTATTGCTCTGCATGACAATAAAAAATTATCGCAAAATTTATTACAATATATTTTGGCCAAAATTAAAAGGCTGTTAAATTTTTTTTTACAAATATAGTTAATGTGAAGCAATAGTGTAATAACATAAAGTTTTTTTTTTTCGTTTTAAAATAATATTAAGAAATTCTAACACTATGCAGCTGAACTGTTACTCTCCTCGTATTTAGCACACGTTCAACAAAATATATACTTCTAGGGTCTAAAATCTTTTGGCATCACGTGTTATTTTTAAAAATTTTTGTATTAATGTATCTTCCTATCCAAAGGACATATTGAAACAATGTTTCTTGTCATTTTTGGCGGTATTTTAATTTTTTTTTTTGCTTTTCGTTGGTTTTTAATATAAAATTACGCTAGCCTATTAGGCAGCGTCGTTGAATTTTTAAACGAGTATATTAATTTACCAGTATACCTATTTAATGATCCATTAAGATATTATTAAATTCTTCAGCTTTTGTTGGGAATTTGAAAACACTTTTTTGAGGTCTTCTATTAGAATTATTTATTTTTTCCTCAAAGCAATGAAATCAAACTTTGCCTTTAGATTTGCAGGATCTGGCTCCGCTGGTGAAATAAAGTAATATATTTCATCCAAAATAAGATTTGTTAATTAAGTTATTAGACTCCCAATATTCGACTGAGAAAGGCGGCCTTGCTTTCACAGAATCAGTTGCACTTAAGCATATTCAAGTACAGCTTGGGTGTTTAAGTCTATGTTAGATTTTGGGCCTGCTATAAAGGAAATTTATGAAGCTGAATAATCTGATTGCCTAGCGTTCGGCAAACAAAGGCTATCCTTAATGTGGGCAAAAACGAAATGTTGTTACGGAGTGAACATCAATGTTCTTCAATCTAGTGATCTGGCTTTATTGGATGTAGTATATCTGGTAGGATCATCCAAATGAAACTCGATTGTCTACTTATAACCGCTGTGACGATTATTATTAGCTGCCATCGACGGGGTTTCCAAATTTTAGAATTTTCTTCATTTCATAGCATACACTCGAATCTGTTATAAGTTTCCTTCCATTGGATTTGATATTTTTTTAGAAAATATTTTACTTCGAAATCTTTTATTAAATATTGCAGGTCTTCAAATGATATTACATATGCACGGGCGCAATGAGTTTTCATTTAAATAAAAATTACTGACTAAAAGAAATTAATTGAATAAATAAAAAAATTAAAATAAAATGAAACAAAAAACCATATAAAAAATAGAAACTCCCATTGTAAAACTTGGACTAATTTATTATTAACTCAAACGCTTGAAGGTAGGTTGGCATAACTGGTTCTGTTTGCAGGAGGCGGCTGAACTTTTTGACGTTGAATGACGGGTTTGTGCTGCGCGGCTGCAGCCTCGTGTTGATATCCTTTGCTGTGCCTTAACGGCTAACTAACGGTGGCATAATCTACACTGGAGGAAGTTTTCGGTTTCTGCAAAAGCTGTAGGCTGTCGTGTCGACATGGTGTGGAACGAAAAAAGCAAGAAGAAATGTAAACAGTCCTCTTAACTTTCTAAGAGTAAAACACTTATCACAAAAAAGAAGTAAGTACGGAAATATAAATCATATTTTTTGAACAAAATTTCAATTTTGGCGGGTCAATAAATGGACTTAAAGACCAAATCCTCAATCACCAATGGATTTTTTTTTTTTCGATACGAGTATAATGGAAACGGCCCAAAAAACAGTCATAATATATGTAATATATAATTGGTGCTTTGTAACCGCTGAAGCGACTTTCCGCCGAGCTCCTCCTCCAATTTGTGGTTTTGAGTCTTGATGTTTTTCCAACAAATAGAGGTACCTACAGCTTATACTAAGCCACCTCCGCACGGCTGATGGCTTTTTCACGAGGAGGCTTTATTTTATGTTGTTCGAAATAGACTCGGAGGGATGAATATGCTGTGCTGAGGGGTGACCGTAATTAAAGAAGTGATTTTTTTTCTTTTTTTTATTTAAATTATGACTTTTGGATGTTGATGTCAAAGGGATATGAGCCCGAGACCTCCGAATTTCAGTACTCAATGCTAACCACTCGGCTACCGCGGTGACAATAATGATGCGAGATATGGAAATTTCACAGCTTATGTCAGGAATGTAATAAATATCAAAAAAAAAGGCAAATTATAGCATTTGATTATTAGATTTAATTTAAACTCTTGTATTATGTTCGTTTTGTCGTGAACATAGTAATCAAGTATGTATAAATATAACGTAATGATCTCACAGCGTGATCTACAGTGACTGGCAACGCCATCTAGCAGATTCTACATCTAACTGCGTATTTAGCATTCTTATACCTCCAAAACGTATCCTAGAGGGAAATTATTCTAACTGGCATTCCCTTTAAGCCTCTTTTGCTCAAATCACATGTCTATACTATCTTCAAAGGAAATTTCATCTGCGTTCGCAGCGGCAAACATTTTCATATTCTAGATTAAATTGTAGGCCATTCAAGCAGTGCTCTAGTTCATTCCTATTTAAATCAAAATCTCATTATAGACCACATTTTAATTTTCTTGTTAGATCTAGAACCGTAGATTCATATCTACATACATACATACATAAAACACATATTTACATTTCTAGACATATTTTCCATAACATTTATTCACAATCCTCACTATACGCAA